AAACACCACATAGGCACGACTCGGCCGTTATATTTTTTCTTGGCCTTGGTCGCCACACGGCTTATGGAATAGTATGATTTGAATGGCATTATTATGACGTCATGAATGCCAAGGTGAACTTGAAATACTCTCCCCGAAAATGTCTGCACATCTTCGCGGGCGTGTAGCTCAGAAATTAGTGGGCTTAGGTATTAAGGAGGGCAGGGCTGTGAACCGCACCAAATGATTTTCATGATAGCTTTTTCAGTTCAAAACCCCACAGAAATGTGGCACACTCCCTTAAATAATAAAGCCGTAAGTGAGATATAAAATGCAAGAAAAACGCATGTCATCTCGGAAACATATACGGAGACAACTCGATAAAAACCCAAAACACGCACAAATACCGCAAGTGACGAAAACGTTAACGCCTGGATCTTCAACGCTCTCCTGCGGCGCCTCAAGCACCACAGGTGAGTCACTCTGTCCACTACGGTGGAGACCAGCCTGGTGGTGACTCTGACGTCATAAAAACGTTCAATGACGTTCTTAAACGATGGGGTATTGAAGAGCAAGGTTACTAAATGGTGATTTTTTCAGTTAAAGCATTCTTTTTATCTAAAAAGTATGGCAATACTTGCAATTGAGTCCTGCTCACCATATTTGACGCTTGCATCAATATCTTCAAAGCTGGAACACCCCCTTTAGCAACTCACCGAAAACATCACTGAATTTGCTCACTATATGGCTTGCTGCTGATGGACTGCCAAAAGCCGGGTTCGAACGGACGGACGGAAAGACAACTGACCAGAGCGGGCCCATGCGGAACCGGAAAGGGTCGGATGAAACCCAGCAGAACTGGCCGGAGCCGGGCAGGGCCGGCCGGAACCGGACGAGACCGGATGAAACCGGATGGGACGCAATTAGGCTAGACAGGACCGAATGGCACCGGACTGGACCGAACGGGATTGGAAGGGACTAGACGTGACTAGATGGGATCGGACAGGACAAGATGAAATAAGACGGGACCGGGCGGGATCAGGTGAAACCGGACTGGACGAGATCGGATGGGTTCAGACGGGACGGGACGGGACGGGACGGACCGGAGCGGACTACATCAGACTGGCCCAGGCGGGACCGGGTGGAAGCAGCCGGGATCGGACAGCACCGGTCCGGACTGAAAGGAGCGGGGCGTGACAGAACGGGGGCAGACGCGACCGGATGGAACTGGATAGAGCGTGATGAGACCAGAAGGGGCGGGATTAGATTGGGCGGCTCCAGACACGGCTGGATGGATGTGGTCAGGATCGGACCGGACTATTACAAGCCAGATAAGACCTGCGGGACGAGACGGGACCGGATGATGCCGGACTGCACCAAAGGCGACCAGACGCGACCAGATGGTAATAGACGGGCCAGACGTGACCGGACGGGATCAAACGGGATCGAATGGTACCGGTCAGGTAATAAGATATCTGGTATTGAACAGGCGGTTTAACAGCCACCAGGTTTACTATACTTTTAGAAAATTTTGACATACACCGGGTCTTCCGCCAGGTCCTTAACATGTTATTCAACCCAAAAACGTCTCCATTTGAAACGTTTAATCTGATTTTATCAGACATGTGCATCTTACACTGCAAAAAGACTGGTTTGATGGAAGTCCAAAAAGTTCCATCGTGTGTGATGTGAATTATGGTTACATTGCTTCACAGGCACCAAGTCTATTAACCCTCTCGCTGATTCGGCGTTTTTAATAATGCGGACTGATGAGGAGTCGATACAAGCCTCCTGTCCCCGCCCCCCCCCCCCCCCCCCCCCCCCCCCCAGCTGGAGTTTGAAAACTAAGACAGCTAGAGCTTAGCTGAAAACACCCGTAAATTGATCTCAACAATCTCTTGCGATTGGTAATATTCTGCTTGCGTCTGGGTAAATAACTAGCTCCAATATGCCAGGCCAAATGTCAAGTTTCCCGGAATTCGCACTTCTTCAGCTTTACAATCTCATGCATGCGTGCTGATGCTTTGTAGCAACACAAGATCTTAACAGGAATGTTCTTTGTTGAATCTTGAGTACAGTGGTGTACAGTTTTGTGTGTTTTGACGACATTTTTATGACGCATCGCTCCGTTAATGTAACAATGTCGTCCCGTCGCGCGCGTCGCGAGGTATCGTTGGTTGCCCTCCAGTCGCCTGCGCAGACCCTTGATCGCCGCGCAGTGTTCCTCAAAAACCGCCGAGGCACCGAAAGCAAATGTGCTAAGGGATACGTTCTCAGTATCAAAATACGCACAATGAGTGCCCCATAGGCTGCCGAAAATTTGGGCGCGATTGCACAAAGTTCCGTAGGGGTATTCTCAAAAACTGTGGGGGAGTCGCATCGAGCCCCTTATCACGGTGAGTATTAACACGCACCTGGGCGCGGTCAAATTGACCCTCCCGAAGGTTTTCCCGGAATGGTTTCCGATTTTGCGGCAAATTTTGGTCCAAAGCCGCGCCAACTTTTGCATAGCTGTAGACAATTGATCGCCTGGCATCAAAAATTTCGATTTACCTGATAAGGTCGCTGACCTATGGCAGGTCAAAGTCAGGCCATGGTTGTAGCAAAGGCACGTTCCAGGGAATCGTTCAAACTGATTAAACAACGCAGTGTTATACGAAGCCATACATCTCCGAGATACTTTCTTGGGCAGCACAACAATTGAATGAGCAAACAACACTGACCTGGGGTCAGGTATGAAGGTCAGACCAAGGTCAAAAGCAACCTGCTTTATTACTCTGGGGCTTGCTGTATGGGCTGGTTTCCGGTGCTCATTTCGAATATATTGATAGCAGGTACTGCATTATACAACTTCCACGGACTTCTGAAAGGTCAACATAGGTCACGGACCTGAAATGACCCAGGTCAACATTTTGTTTTTAGGAATACACTACCTAGCGTAATCTGTGTCGCTTATCTAAACGCAAAACTCAAAGCAGTGTTATATCATTTTGGTAATCATGACTTTTGAAAGATCAACCAAGGTCACTGGCCTTAACTAAGCGTGTGACATTTTGCTTAGAACAGTTGCATAGGTTCTAGGGGCCCTTTGGAGACAAATGTGAATGTTGACCTTGTTTGGTCTTATCTAACCCGAAGTTCATGACCTAGGAACCTCAAACTTTGACCTAAGTGAGTTCACGTACATGTTAACACACCCTGTGAATTTGATTTCTCTAGCTCTCTTAGTCCTTGAGATCTCAGGGGGTCCAATTAACCCCCTCCACATGAGCGAAGGGTATCCAACCGGCCACCCAGGCGCGTGTTGCAAGGTCAGGCAAGGCCACTGACCTTAATTGAGCGTGTGATATTTTTCTTAGAACAGTTGTCTAGGTTCTAGGGGCCCTTTTGAAACCAATCTGGAATTCGCCCTTGTTTGACCTTACTTGACCCGAAGGTCATTACCTAGGAACCTGAAACTTTGACCTAAGAGACTTAACGTACAGGTGAACACACCCTGCGAATTTGGTGTCTTTAGCTCTCTTTGTTTCCGAGATCGCAGGGAGAGGGTTCAGATTGACCCCTCCCACCCGAGCGAAGGGCATCCAACCGGCCACCCGGGCACGTGTTAATCTTTGACAAGACCCGGAGATACAACAGGTCCACTGGCTTTTCTTTACTATTCTAAACGACTCGAAAACGTCTTTGTGTGGTGCATTTTATCTGACTTCACAAAGTATTTATCACTAAACGACCCGAAAACGTCTTTGTGTGGTACATTTTATCTGACTTCACAAAATATTTAGCATTCCGGCATTATGTTTGAGATGGCTCAAAAAAGGTGGAGAGGCCGAGTTAGCACCTTTAGTTAGCATCTTCAGCTAGTTAGTCCCACAAACCTAGTTGGCACCTTAGGTTGGCGCCTTCAACTCAAATCTAGGGGCCTGGTTTGAATCCCGTTTGTAGCACGATTTCTGAACACAAATATCTCCACTATGGTAGCTGGTGCTTAACAAAAATGTTGCAAGACAACGTTCCTCTCATTTGCTTAAAAAGGAAAGGCGATTCAAAAGCTGTTCACGAAATCACCTCTCCCGGAGCCACCCTCGTACGACAATCGTTGCGGGTTTTTTCTTACACTCGCTTATAAAGTGGTATCTAGGTGGACTCAAAAGTCATGACTTAGGAAGCTCACAATTTGAGACAAGTGAGTGCACAGACAGCTCTGCCTGCCCTGTGAACTTGGTGTCTCTAGCTTTTTACTTTTGAGATCTCATCGGGTCAAATTGGCATTCGTATCCCCACCCGCTTGTGTCGCATTCGACCTGTCACTGGGGTGCGTGTTAATCATCGGAAAAGTCTACAGCTGGAATGTAGTGCGGAATGCAGCTTCATGAATTTTTACAAGAATGCCTGGCTAAGTTAACATGTACGTCAGCGGTTAATAGTGTTAAAGTTATCCGTGCACATGATTAATGGTACATTTGAGTTTTCTTTGTGAAACAAAAATCGTAAATAAAAGACGCAACATGCATGACAAGTAAAATGCGTTTTAATGGCTAATATACCTGACAAACTTTACTTCCGGTGATCTCATCCTGGATCACCGATAGTTGATCACATGTAGAGGAGAATGCGCAGAAAACAGAAGAAGAGGCGCATTTTGCGACATGTCAGCGCCCAGACCGATGTAGCAAATAGTGAATGCAAACTGCGCACGACGTCGGCTGGACGATGCTACAGCTATCAGTTGTCCGGGAACGCGCCGCTCGGCAGCAGGTAGGAGGTGAGCGCCCGCCCCCCGCCGAAAGGAAAGCAGCTGCGGCGGCATGACCGGGCCATGCCTTTAGGGCCCAAGCCAAATCTGCCAACTAGCCTGGCCTCAGGCCACCAATGTGACCTATGTCCTCTTGTCCCTGCCCTCCAGAAGCGGCAACGTTGCAAAATGGGATGCTCACGCCGCCGGTTCCCGACAAATGAGAAAGTAAAAGGGCCCGGCGAGATGATCCAAGATGGCGGCCGGTATTTAAGGCGGCCGCGCGGTCGAGGCTGCCTAGTCTGCCGCCACCATGCGAGCCGTCGCGTGCATTCTCGTGCTGCTGGCCTGCGCGGGTAAGTAGGGCCGCGGAGCGGCGGCGCGCCGTGACCCAAATCACCGGTCGGCGGCCAGCGACCGCTGACCTGGTGGCGACCCGGAGTCAAACGCTGACCTGGTGGTGACCCACCGGCGCCGCCCGCAGAGCTCGCCGGCCGCGGCCTGGTATCTGGGTCAGTGAGCCAGTGGCGCGCCGGGCCTGGCCCGGCCGCCCCGCCGACGCCAGCCTCGCCGTCGCGTGTTGCCGTTTTTTGGGGTCGCGCCGGCCGGCCGGCGATGCCATGCTGGGAAGGAAAGGGCGTGCTATTTCGGAGTACCGGGCTCCCCACCCACTCCTCCGCCCGTGTGCATCGGAACTTGCTTCTTGATGAGTACCATTGTGTAAATGCATTGAACTGATTGGTCCTGAGCGTTAATGCGTGTAACTGAACAATCGAACGTTTTCTTGTTCTTGCATCGACAATGTTGGCACATTTTTTAACTGACGACCCCCATCGGCTGACTCATGAGGCTGGAGTTTGCGTCGGTCGGATTATTTACCCACGGCCCTTTCACTTCCATGGGATTTTTCGCCGAATTCCTGGGCCTTTCTAAGGTCGCGGTGGTTGTAGCTGCATGGCTGTTGTGTCACACCGTAAAATACTCCTGTGGTTAGTTTTATTTGGTTTAAATCAATTGTTTTTGGGAGATATGTACAACTATAATGTTACTGAGCTTACGCTTGTCCCTCCCCAAGTATGTCTTCTAGATATTTTCCCGCCGCGTAAAGCAGATAATTTAATTTCCAAAATTTCATCCTCTTGAAATTCTCAGCACACAAGTTTTGTATGGATTACTGCAGCGCATTACTGCACTCTTTTACTCCTTGGTGCTCTTTTCAAGTGGTCAATAGCGGCCCAGCATCATTCATTTCTGTCCTCAAACGTCCACTTCAGGGCTTTCCTTAGCTCCACACCAGCCTCAGGCTGCAAGGTGACTTTGCCATCATCTGCGCACGAAGCCCAGTAAGCCGGTACCGGTGCATGTACGCAGACAATACAAGTCACGCTGTGGAGGCCCTTGCCGAGACCGGCCGGACCTGACCCCCGACTCTCTCCGGCTGACCCGTCCGTATGCTCTCCCACAGCCCACGCCAACCGGGTGAAGCGGCAGGACGATGAGCAGACCGAGGAGGACACCATCAAAGCCATCTGCAAGGGCAAGGGCCCCGGCGAGTGGTTCCGCCTGAACCCTGGCCCAGCACACTGCAAGGAGGTCGTCCAGTGCACCTCGGCGGTAAGATGGCGCCACCGGCGAGCTGCGGACGCGGCCCTCGGCGCCGCCGCCAGCCCGGGCGCCAGGAAAAGTTGTCCGCCCGCGCCCGCCGCCGGTCGGGCATGGGTGGGGGGCGCGAGCGAAAGGTGGCTGGCGGCGGCGGGCGCGCGGCCGGCGCCGTGCGGCAACCAACCCGGGCCCCGGGAGGCCGGGACCCGCCACGACGCTTCGTCGGCCGGAAAGCTCTCGGACGGGACAAACGCGCTCGTCTGATTAACCCGATTCACGTCCGAGTTGAGCGGCGATCCGTCGCTTATGATTGGCCGCCGCCGAGAGAAATCGCTCGCGACAAACGCCATTCAATCAGGGCACGTCTGAGCCATGTTGCCATCGACGCAAAGCCTGGGCTGTTGTTGAGTGCTGATGGAAAGTGGTTGCGTCAGCGGTCGGTGCTTCTCGTGCTGGTACCGCTTATCGCGGAGAATGCCACCACTTGCCACAGAATACCGGCGTGATCAGGTCGCAACTGGCTGTTCGTGTCATGTTTCAATGCATTGCCGCACCACGGAGCAGATGAGCTGCCCACAGCTTAACTCCTCCACCCATCCGCTAGAGACATCGACACCTGCCAAGCCCGTTGAACTCGCAGCCCCTTTGTGGATGGCCCACCACGGTTCATGCATCCGCTCTACACTATGGTTCACACGACAGTCACGTGCTAACGCATCGGTGCTTCCGCTGTCTGACGTCACATTCTTACCTCCGCAGGGCCTGCAGCAGATCCGCTGCCCGCAAGGCCTGGTGTTCGATCTCGTCCAGCAGACGTGCGACTGGAAGGCCGCCGTGCCCAACTGCGACCTGACCGAGCGACCCAAGCTGCCCAAGCCGCTGCTCGTCACCGATGAGCCTCTTTGCGAGGGAGACAGTCTGGCCTGCGCTGAAGGGACCTGCATCGCGCGCGAGCTCTTCTGCGACGGCAACAGTGACTGCAACGACGGCTCCGACGAGAACGCCTGCGGTGAGTGCTCTGGTGCAGGACGCCACGCAGATCTTGTGGTTGGCGTCGACCCAGGCAAAGCTGGTGTGGGGAAACTAAACGCGGAGGGATGGGGTGGAGTGTGCGAAGTGGGGTTTGCACCGTTTAGTTGTGGTCGCTGTTAATTCATGATGCAGTTGATGGCAGGCAGCGTCAATGGTTGGTCGTTATGCATGCTGGCACTTCCTGCTTGCAGAGAAGTAACGAGCTGCGCATAGTAGCACATAGTGTCTCGTCTCCATCTGGATGTTTTATTGCTACTCAGATGCCATAAAATAGCTAAAACTTTTACAGGAAGACAATCTCGAATTGATGACTCACGGGATTTCCACTGGTTTCAGATATGGGCAGCGACCCTAACCGGGCACCGCCCTGCGACGTGGAGAAGTGCCAGCTGCCGTCCTGCTTCTGCTCCGAGGATGGCACCGTCATCCCTGGAAACCTATTGCCGGAGGACGTGCCACAGATGGTGATGCTCACCTTCAACGGCGCCATCAACAACAACAACATCGAACTGTTCAACGAGCTGTTCAGCAACGAGCGTGTCAACCCGAACGGCTGCCCTATCAAGGGCACCTTCTTCGTGTCGCACAAGTACACCAACTACACGGCCGTGCAGGACTTCCACAACCGCGGCCATGAGATCGCCGTCTTCTCCATCACACAAAACGATGCGGCCAACTTCTGGACGAACGCCAGCCGGACCGACTGGTCCAATGAGATGGCCGGCCAGCGCTTCATCATCGAAAAGTTTGCTGCCATCAGCGATGAGTCGGTGGTTGGTATGCGCACGCCTTACTTGCGTGTCGGCGGAAATAACCAGTTCTTCATGATGTTCGAGCAGAAGTTCCTGTACGACTCAACCATTACGGCGCCTCTGAGCGACATTCCCATCTGGCCGTACACGCTGTTGAACCAGATGCCGCACGCCTGCCACGGCAACGCGCAGAAGTGTCCTACTCGCGCCTTCCCCGTCTGGGAGATGGTGATGAACGAGCTGGACCGCCGCGAGGACCCGAGCGTGGACGACGATCTGCCGGGATGCGCCCAGGTGGACTCCTGCTCCAACATCCGCACCGGTGAGCAGTTCTACCGCTTCCTCGACCACAACTTCGACCGCCACTACCTGACCAACCGGGCGCCGCTCAGTCTCAACTTCCACTCAGCCTGGCTGAAGAAGGAAGAAAACCTCGACTACCTGCTGCTCTGGATTGAGGAGATCCAGCGTGCCTTCCCCGACACCTACTTCGTGACGATGACGCAGGTCATTGAGTGGATGCAGAACACGCCCAGCAGTGCCGAGACCAAGGACTTTGATTTGTGGTTGTCCAAGTGCGACGAGCCCGTCGGATTCCCTTGCATCAAGCCGGGCGGCAATAACTGTGCCCTGCACGCCGAGGAGGTCCAGGGAACCTTCAACATGCAGACCTGCCAGAGGTGTCCCACCAATTTCCCGTGGCTGTCGGATCCGACTGGAGAGGGCTTCCTGTAAATATTTTGCCTATGCAGCAGCATCGTTACTTCATTTCCTTCGGAGGCCTCGGCTGGCAGAATGATTTGTTGCGGCGGGACGGTCCGCGCCGGCCGCCTCTCTGTGTATCACTGTGGTGTTCGGGATGTTGTTAGTCTCGGTCTGTACCAGTGCCACGGCGCTGGGGCCTTGGCCTCAGGTCTTGATGGCTGAGGTGCCGGACGATCCCGCGAACGTCGGACTTTGTTGATATGTTGTTGCCGAGTACAAAAGTGCAGCGCGGATTGGCACCTGTTTTACTTTATTTGGCAACGCTGTAGACCGACTCAGCTGTGATCGCGACCACGTGATTCCTGATCCATATCCTGTATACTTGTGGTTAATGTGTGGTGTACACTGAACAATAAACGGCGTAACTTTTTGATTTCTTTGCAAAAGCGGGGCATGAATGCGGTTAAATCGAGAACAGATACTAGGCTAGGATTCATGACCAAAGCAGGCACAGGCCTAAGAGCCATCCGCTAGACACAGCGTCAGGCGGAGCTACCAAATTAGGACTGACGTTTTCTAGCAAGGAAGAAGTGATAACTAATTACGTCGCCATTTTCAGCCTTTTCGTGATTGTGTAATGCCACAAAGGCACGGAAGGGTAGCTCGCCTCCCTCGAACTTCAAAATACAATTTGCTGATTACAATTACTCGCGAAATCTGGCTAAAGTGAAAGCAAGTTGGCGATAATTTTTGTGTTTGTGTATTCCCTAATCTGTCTTCATGTCAACCAGGCGACACCGGTGTTGTCACAGCTTCATACCATACGGACTGAAGGCTCATTGTTGTACCCGGCAGGTGCAACCGCACAAATGCACAGAAATATCTTGAACTAAAATCCGTCGGACTAACTTCTGACACAATACGGATAAAGCAATGCCAATTCCCACACCAACACCGTTGCTGATATGTTGCTTTTGTGACACAATAAGGCGACATTCATCTTTACATATAAGTTAGCATGTGTTTCTTCAGCCCAAGCTTTTAGTCCATTGATATTCTAGAAGAATGCCACGAAGGCGTCTGGTAATCAGCCGCGTGGATCGGTCGAGGGTGTTGGATGCTCGCTGTGTCACTATTGTTGACACTGCTGTTGTGTGGGAAAAGGTGGGCTCTGAGGTTCATTGGATTCAAGGATTATTTATCGCGGATCATATTCAGGTATGCAAGCTCTGTATGGAATGCATACCTATTTATGGGGATCCGGCCAATATAAATGAGTTTGGTTTGTCGCGTCCGCGTCACATATGCCACCGAATGGTTTTGAAAGGTTCAGAAGGTTTCTGTAGAAATATGTCTGACATCATGTCTTCTCATAAAAGCATGATCTTGCTTGTAGTCAAGCAACCGCAATTTTATCAAAATGTACGTCTTCACTAACATGTTTTAAATATTTGGATAATATTTCTAGTCAAAAATTGCTGATGAAAGTTGTGCTGTTAGAGAAAGCCATGACAGCATTAAAAGAAAGTGAAGGCTTGCACCATAATTCGCAAAGAAAACGGCTAATACCAGCAAAGGTCTCTTACTTTACTCCACATTCATTTGCATTGTGACAAAAAAGACTATATTCAAAGCGTAATTTCAGTTTTCGTAGCCAACGTTTCCCTGAAGTGCTCTAAATCCGATGCTACCTCTTCCTTACATATTGTTTTCATGAATTAACGTCACGTTCAAGGTAACGCCACCTGCTTTGACGCCATAAGTCCACGTAAACAATCCTAGTGTTCTACGTGCTGTAACCGCTAATGTTTTAGCATGACATAATTAGCATCAACAGCAAATGGCATGGCAAAATGGGAAGCAGCAAGTGGGTCCATCAGCGGAGATCACAGCCGATGGTATGTATGGTATTCATGGAACTAGTTTCGTACATAGCCTTTAGCACACTTACGACATTTATGCACCAGGATATGTCCTTTTCGAAGCTTAGCACGCGCTCGGGTTGGGGTCAATTTGGCCCCCCCCCTAGGTTTTCCGGAGCGCTTTCCGAGCAGCTTGGTGCGACTGTGCCAAATTTTGCATAGCGGTTGATACTTAAAAGATGAATCGTTAGATATCAAAAATTTAGCTGCACCTTGTAAAGTCGCTGACCTACGGCAAGTCAAAGTCAGGACATGGATTTAGCGAAAGCAATTTGTAGCGGATCGTTCAATATGATGCAGCAACGGTGTGTTAGACAAAGTCGTATATCTGAGATAGTTTCTTAGGCAACATAACAATTGAATTAGCAGATTCCACTGGCCAAGGGCCCGACATGAAGGTCAGATGAGGGTCGAAACCAGACGGATTTTGCTCTAAAGCTGTAGGAAGTTTCTGGTGCTCATTTTGAGCATATTGATAACAAGAACCAGATTTTCATCTTCCATAGACTTCTTAAAGGTCAGAATAGGTTACTGACCTGAAATGGCTCAGGTCAACATTTTGTTTTCAGAAACATACCACCTAGCATAATCCTTGTAGCTTTTTGAAATGCAAAAAAGCGGTTGTATATGATTTTGGTCCCCATAGCTTTCGGAAGCTCAAACAAAGTCACTGATCTGACATGAACATCAGTGACATTTTTCTTAGAACAGGTATCTAAGTGCATGGTGGTTGCATAAGAAGGCCTGGGGGCACTTTGGACACCAATCTGAAGTTTTACCTTGCTTGACCTCGTTTGATCCTAAGGTCATAACATAGGAACCTCAAATTTTGACTCGAAAAATTTCACGTACAGACAAATCCACGCTGTAAGTTTATTGTCTCTGTATGTTTGTTTGCTCTGTAAGTTTGCTGCCTTATTTTCTGAGATATCAGGGGACAAGTTTCCCGCACCCACCGGCGAGCGATGGATATTCAACCGGCCACCCGGGTGCGTGTTAGGACTGTAACTGTTGATCGTAACCCCGCCGATCGGGGCATAATTACACACTCAGTCTTATTTATATCGCAAGCTACACACACGACAATTTTGATTTACTACATCACACAGGTCACAAGGTCAAGGTCATCAAATGCTTCGGGCGCTCTGAAAAGTTTGGGGAAATATTTTCTTATTGATGTCATGGTTTCCTAGATCTGATCAAATCGAGATATAACTTGAAAGCGGATGGTGTGATGCTTTCATTAAAAATGCAAAGGGCCATTTCCTGTGTTTGTTTTACCACGGCCCTCTTGACCTTTTCTCACATCCGTGACGTTTCAAAATTTAATGTTTTGTTTTTGTTTTTGTTTTTGTTTTTGTTTTTGTTTTTTCTCAAAGATGTCCAACGCATTATCCAAGCATTGCCATCAAATGCTCCCGAATGGAAAGGCAGGCTCTGTAACCAATTGAGCTGTCAGTACGGACCTTGAACGATTTTTCACCACCGAGTATGCATAATGTCACTTTCGTTCATCCCACAGTGGCTTTAAAGTTAATTTGTCGAAACTTTTTGAAGGCGTTGATCCGATCTGACCTTCAACGCGGCGTTGAAGATCAAACCACTTCACATCATCTGTTCAGTTCAGAGTTACTGAACAGCGTCGCAGAGCGACAATTTGCCAAATGTGTGGCATGGGCAGCTCCGAAAGTTAGGCTAAAGGCTGGTGAACTATGATTTTGGGACAGTTGAGCGTGATGAGATGTACGGAGCGGGAAAACAATGGAGTTGGAATACGGATTTAAAATAAACGGACAGGCTGCATTCGCCCTGTGCTTGCACGGATTAAAGCTGTAGCATACTGCACAATATGCATCCTCTGCAGTGTATTCTCCATACTGACAAGGTACTCACATCTTTACATATGTGCTTACATGTGAGTACTTACGCATGTCCCACGGAACAATTTAGTACCAAACACAGAAGCATATGGTTGAAATTTAAGCATCATTATATTCTGAAACTGTGTTTAAAACATTATTCCGATTATTTTCATGTATGGACCTCAGGGATTAGCGCTCACGCTAACGGGGTTTATTTCGCGAGCCAGACATGCACCATCGGGTCGTGAAATGTTTTGCCAACGGCATAATTCAGTGACGAAAGCTTAACCCGTCTCAATACTCAGCACAGTCCGTCCTGCCCTCTGACGGTACCTGATCATTATTTCAGCCGTTACAACCATCCATGGTACGACCCAGTCAGCGGTAAAAAGCGAGTTCCTAAAATGAATTGAACCCACCCCCACTGCGGGCGTGACAATCGAAAGGCTGTAACAGGCTGACTAATCAGCTCAAAGTAGAAATGCGCTTTAATGTACTTCAAAACACAAACTCAAACATTGCAGCAAGTGCGTGTGTAGCAGAAACTTGGATCAAACCGATGTGAAACATTGGAAAACACAAATTTCTTCCAAATGTCATCGAAAAATTGTAAGGTTTATTCGACCATGATTCCAAAATGCACTGGAAACAAAATTACAACGATCGAAATGCCTATGTCAAAGCCTTTCCAAAGTCCACTCAGTTATCTAATGTGGTAGCTGCGAAATATCAATCAAAATGCGGGTGTGTCAAACCAGAAATTAGCTACAGACAGGAAGGTAGTGTGTTCCTGTTGGTAGAAAATTCCACAAATGTGATATGTTGTATGTCTACTTTGCAAATCCCAGGGCATCATTGTATCTACATTACGAATTTAAAGTTCCTAATGACTCAAACAAGCTACCGACAACTTGTTATCTATGCATAAATGTATTTTCGGTCGCCACTAGCTCGGAGCTATCTCTGACCTGTGGCGGTAACAGCATCCTATATTGATGAGCGGGGCTAGAGCAGTTGCATTAACTTTAATCCGAAACAACCTTTAGTCCTTAGTATCTTACTCCAAACGTTTATGTGGGTGTGGTAGTTTGGTATCGTTATCATATCAATTCAATTCATCATATTGTCGCATTGTGAAGTGTTTGGACTGGCAGTGCCCAGTTTTCTTGCTTAGAATGTCACCTTGCCTGCCCTAAGACCTCATTGCATCTGAACATTAGCCCGTGACTTAGTGTGCAAAGGATCAGTTTCTTTGCAGCTTGTCAATTAGGTTTTGTGTGCGTAACCGAGGTTGTCACAAGCCACCACAGATGTTGCTTAACCAGGATGTAGTATGTAGATAACGTGTCACTTCGTTTTTAATATGTTTGATTTCATGAGAATGACAGGAAGAATTTCTCTATGTCCTTAGGTGTGATCTTAAGTTTTGAATCACCTTATTTAATATTTGAAGAATCAACTAACGGTACGTTAACTAAATGGGGTGTGGTGGTTGTGATGAGACCTAAGGAAAACGCGTATAGCAGATAATTAACCGCGGTGCCAGACTTGGAAAACGCTGCCGTCAATGTAGCCATATTACGCCTCTCCTGAAGGCCCTTAAATTGCCAACAGTAGAGCAGCTCGTAGCTGAGCGAGATATGGTA